AGATTTGTGCTTAACGTTGTGTTCTAGAATTAATTGCATAGGAATATAGTAATTGAATCTAGAATATTAGAATCGTAATACACGCGGAAGCGGGTTATGATTATTTTAGCATCTCAGGTTAATAATCCGGGTTAATTGCTTGCATAATTGAAAGAATTGGGGGAGTAATAATCACATAGGGGGAAGAATAAAATCCTAGGCTCGTTTACTCTGATAAATCTTCGTGTTTAATTTGCTTTCTTGTTTTGTCGTTTTAATTTGCTTTTTAATTTATTTTAGTTGATTCTCTAAAAATTCGACCAATACAATTCATCTTGAATTTGATGCACTCATCAACAAGGAATGTGCAATGAACATTTCAAAAAGTTGGTCACTTTATACGGACTTAATTGTCCACTATATTACTTGTACGATACGTGCACTTGCGTGTAGGTTTTCGACCAACACCTGCGTACACCAACAATCGTTGTGTGGAAATCACGAAGGCGCGTTTTGAATACATAACGGGAAAATGGAGAAATCCATCAGATCATCATTCAAATTATGTACGAAGCCACGTTGCAGAGTTCTTACCAACAGAAAAGTTCAGGTTCACCTTAGATATGAGTGATGATGACATTGGTTACTCTAATGATGCAAATACATCTGACATTTCTCTCGCGAACTCAACCTCTTGCAAGGTTGAATCGGACTTAATTCGTTGTATACTTTGCAATGAAAATTTATGCCATTGGACGTCTTCTCGATTCCAAGTTAGAAGAACTACGGGACAAAATTCCATGATTGGAGTTGCGAATATTGACTCATGTTAGCTTGAATATGTTGATATATTTTTTTTTTTTTCGCGTGTAATTTTTTTATCTTTTTTGTTTAGTTTCTTTAACTTTCATAATGTACAAACGTACAATTTGCTTTCGAATCTATATAATATATAAAAGTTGAATTCCACACCTAATTGATTGACATTTGTAAATTTCAATTAGTGACATGTATTCAATTTCATCACATGTGGCAAATTGATTGGTGAAAATAAATCATCAAAAAACATGTCACCATTTTCCAAAATTTAAAAGATATTTAATTATTTAATTATATATTTATATCATACCATTTATAAAATGCTCTAAATATATCAACTTTCTTGAAAACTCTAAATAGTTTTATTTTTTAATTTTAATTTTAATAGTAATTAATTTAATTTAAATTTATTTAAATTCAATTTAAAATCTTCACTTATTATAATTGTATGATTGATGGTGTTACGAAAATTTTGTATTTTAATTCATAAACTTGGATTTATATAAAAAAAATATTGCAGAATAAATCATTTCATATTATACATTTTACATGAACATGACCAGAGAATATGTTTATTTTTTTTTACTAATTTAATATTATATACGTAATTACCAAAATTTCCCTGATGTTTATTTTCGTATTACATCGACCCCCTTACGGTATGATTTTTCACGGAATTTTTTTATTACGTGGAATATTCCCCGAAAAATGCAGATTCTACCCTGCACACGATATTTGTTTATGGTACTTTTTAAAGACAAAAATTACTCTGAGGGGGACTTTACACGAAATATTTAATTCTTTTTTAAATAACATTTTTCACAACTTTTTAGTATTACTATTACCTCCCCTAAGGGTAATTTTTGTATTTAAAAAGTAAGATAAAAGAAATATCATATCTGCAAGGGTAGAATCCACAATTTTTTGGATATTACATGGAATAAAGAAGATTCCGTAAAAAATCACACCATAAGGGGGTTGTGTAAGACATAAACAAACATCAGGGGGATTTTGGTAATTACCGATAAGTGGGGGTGATTTCCGTAATTTAGCCTAAGTTCATGAGGATTTTCGTAATTTATCCTATTAACAATGATTATTGTTATTTTCACGTCTTAATGTTTGTTTATACCCTTATATTATTTTAAATAATTTTAATGTCAATTTGATAATATAACTAAATATTAATTTCTAATATATTTAATATGTGTTTCTTAATGTTTTAGGTACCACACATAAGGAATTTGAAATAAAAGTTGCGAGATTGAATAAAAAAAAAATTGATAAAAAATAATAGATAATTTCAAAAACTTTGATGCAAAATCATAATTAGGATTATGATTAGTATTAGCATTAGAATGAGGATTATAATTAATATTCTTTGAATTAGTATTACGATTAATACTAGGATTAGGATTCGGATTAATAAAGTATTCTAATTAATATTAGGATTATGATTATGATTAATATTAGTATTAGAATTATAATTAAGATTATGATCATTGATTCGTACTACAATTAGTGACATGTATTAGTATTATACTTATGATTAGCATTAGGATTAGGATTATGGTTAGAATTATAATTAGAATTAACATTAGCATAGCATTAGTATTATTAGTAGTAAAATTATTAGGATTATAATTAATGTTAGAAATAGGTTTAGGATTAGAATTATGATTAGGATTACAATCATGACTAGCGTTATGAATAGGATTAGGAATATGATAAGCATTTGGATAATATTAGTATTACAATTATAATCATCATAAGCATATTCAGATTAACATTAACATTAAAATTAGTATTAGCATTAGAATATGTGCATTAGCATTAACATTAACAATATTAATATATTAGTATTATAAATAGTATTAAAATTAGTATTAATATTAGGATTAGTAATAATATTAGTAATAGTATTAGTATTAATATTAATATTAATATTAGTCTAAATATCAGTATCAGTTTCATTATTCGTATCCGTATCAGTATCAGTATCAGTATTAGTATTAGTATCAGTATGAGTATCAGTATCACTATCAATATCAAAATCAGTATTAGTATTGATATTAGTATCACTATCAGTATCAATATTAGTATGAGTATCAGTATGATTGTGAGTATCAATATTAGTATGAGTATGAGTATCAGTTTGAGTATCAATATTAGTATTAGTATTACTATGAGTATCAGTATGAGTATCGGTATTACTATAAGTATCAATATCAATATTAGTATTAGTATTAGTATTAGTGTTAGTATAATATTACTATGAGTATCAGTGAGTTAAATGCAAAAACACCCCCTGTGTAATTCCTAAAGGCCAAAAAACCCCCTGGGAAAAAATAAGTCACCAAAACCCCCCTAACAAGTGTTCAATGAAGCACACTCGACCCTTTCTTATTATTGTTTGTTGACCGCTCGCGAAAAGACAAAAATGCCCTTCAGATAAATAGGTG